CCTTTTGAATTCATGGGTTAGGGAGATTAAGGGTGATTAGGTTAGTTCTAGGTTGTTTTAGTGTAGATCATTCTTGTTCCTTGCTAGTAGAGTATTCGTAATGCATCTTCTGAGTTAACCACTCAAAAGTTGATCAATAGGCATTTCCCACCCAAAAGGTGTTCGATGAAATGCCTGAGACAACTCTCCTAGACTTTTATTATACTTTGCCAAAGATATTTGTTGTTAAAGGTGCTAAGATAGCTAATAGACTTGTTAGTAATGATTGCTTTCATATTATTCAACCAAAGACATTTGATGTTTGAGATATGTTAGCAAATGAACATTCATCTTGACATAGAGCTTGTTTAGAATTGTGTCTAGGCTTAAGGTTGATAGTTTAATTGATCGCTTGCAATCCTTAGTTCGAAACTTGATCACCCAAGGTCTAATCCCTATACCCATGAGTTCTCCTTTCTCTTAATCAAAGAAGTTATTTTAATAATCGCTTTTCTTATTCTTAGTTATAGTTTAAAACCATCAATTATTCGATTGCACTTAGATTAAGCTAGTACTTGCATTCTCAGTGCTTTAAAATCTCTCAGAACTGGTTCGACAATCTCTTATACTACAACATTTGTCTTAGGAGCCTTGAAAACTCCTAACATCATATATGATCCAAGAAATTGGGATATGCTTAATATAAAATTGAGAGAAACATTAGCAGTAAATGGACCAAAAAGAGATTTGTCTATTATAAAAGGTCCTAAAAACAAGGTTCATAGAAGATTTTTTTCATCTTGTTATACTAGAGAATTGCCTAATGGAGAAACAAGTGATAGAAAATGGTTAGTTTATTCCAAAGATTTAGATAGAGTTTTTTGTTTCTGTTGTAAAATTTTTAAGAAAGGTATTAAAAAAAGCCAGCTAGCTAAAGATGGTCTTTCAGATTGGACTCATATACTTGTTAGATTAAAGGAACATGAAAAAAAGTAAGGAACATATGCTTAACATGAGTGTTTGGATAGAATTACGACATAGATTTAAGAAAAATGAAACTATTGATAAAGTTGCTCTAGAACAATTTAAAAAAGAAAAAGAATATTGGAAAAATGTATTAATTAGAATTATTGCTATTGTGAAATATCTTGCCAAGCATAACTTGGCATTTCGTGGAACACATGAAAAGTTATATGAAAATAGTAATGGTAATTTTTTAGGATTAATAGAGATGTTAGCAGAATTTGATTGTGTTATAAAAAACATGTTTTTCGGATTACTAGTGGTAGTATTCATCATCATTATCTTGGTCATAATATTCAAAATGAATTAATTCTTTTGATTGCTTCAAAAATTAAATCAAAAATTATTACTAGAATAAAAGAGGCAAGATATTTTTCAGTGATACTGGATTGTACTCCTGATGCTAGGCATCAAGAGCAAATGACACTAATTCTAAGGTGCGTTCATTTTTCCTCAATCTCTTATAAGGTAGAAGAGTATTTTGTAGAATTTTTAAAAGTAGATGACACAACTGGTGTAGGACTTTTTGAAGTGTTAAAAGATGTATTAAAATCTTTAGATCTTGATTTAGATAATGTGAGAGGTCAAGGTTATGACAATGGATCAAATATGAAAGGACATAAACAAGGTGTACAAAAAGATTTTTGGATATAAATCCTAGAGCTTTTTATACACCATGTGCTTGTCATAGTTTAAATTTGGCCTTGTCTGATATTGCAAATAACTCTATGAAAGTCAAATATTTTTTCGGTGTGGTGCAACGTTTATATTCTTTATTTGCTAAGTCTATAAAAAGATGGGATATATTGAAAGCAAATGTTAAAAATTTCACTCTTAAGCAATTGTCAACAACTCGATGGGAAAGCCGTATTGAAAGTGTTAAAGCTATAAGATTTCAGATTATAGATATAAGAGAAGCTTTACTTGAAGTGAGTGAAAATGATAATGATCCTTTGATTCAAAGTGAAGCAAAGTCTTTAGCAATAAATGAACTTAGTAGTTTTGAATTTGTATTATCTAGTGTTATTTGGTTTGATATACTGCATGATGTGAATATGGTTAGCAAAAAGTTACAGTCAAAAGATATGCAAATTGACGTTGCAATGACTGAGGTAAGTGGACTGATTTCTTATTTTGAAAAATATAGAGAAACTGGTTTTGGTGATGCTATGATGAAAGCAAAAGAAATTGCTAATGAAATTGGTATTGAACCGGTGTTTATTCAACAACGTATTATTCGTAGAAAAAAACAGTTTGATGAAACTAGTGATAATGAAACTATATTGTCTGTAGAAGAAACATTTAGGATTGAATACTTTTTGTATGTAATAGATCATGACATTAGTTCTCTTGATAAGAGATTTGAACAATACAAATTATATGAAAATATTTTTGGTTTTTTATTGATTCTACTAAACTGAAAATGTATGATGATGATACTTTAAATTCTTGCTGTAGGTTTTTAGAAACTAGTTTAAAAACTGAGGATTCAACAGATATAGATGGAGATGAACTTTTTCTTGAGCTTAAATTTCTTAAAGAACTTTTACCAAATAAAAAAATGGGTGCATGTGGTGTTCTGAATTTTCTTGTAGAATTTGATAGTTTTCCTAATACTACAACTGCATATAGAATTTTACTTACTGTTCCTATTACTGTTGCTTCTGCAGAAAGAAGTTTCTCCAAGCTGAAACTTTTGAAGTCTTATCTAAGAGCATCTATGTCACAAGAAAGATTAAGTGGATTAGCTTTAATAGCAATTGAGAACAATTTTTTGGAAGAAATAGATGTTGAATCTTTAATTGATGATTTTGCTTCAAAGCATGTAAATAGAATGGCTTTATTTGGTTGAGAGATCACAAAAGAAGTTTTTCAAAGATGAAGATTTCTTTTTACAGATTGTAAAAGTTGCTGTTTATTTGTTCTTTGTATGTGAATGTAGACAAAATTGTGGTTGTAAACTTTTTGAATCTAACTTTTTTTATTAGCAGAAAATTTATTTAGGGCCTTTTCTGACTGATAGCACCGGGTCAGATTAACTACTGAGCCAGGTCTGAGTATAGCTATTCAAACTAAGTTGATACTTTAAATGGTACAAAAGAAAGTTCATATTTTTTCAACCAAATTTGAAAATCCGTGAGTTAAATGAAAATTTCCCTTTTAAATATGTAAATTTGGTTAACCGTTTGAAATATAGATATAATAAATAGATAAGGAAAATCACCCACTATTGTTATCCACCTCTAATAGAATTTTTAAAACAACTGCATTATGCATTGTTAGCTAATTAGTGATCATTTTATCTTATATTCAACTGGCCCTTGTAGATTTTGCAAAAAAAACAGAGAGCAAATGAAAATGAAGAAAATAAATAATAAAGAATTGAAAAAAAGTCATTTCAAAATTAATAAAGGTTAAAATATATAGGATTTTTTATTTTTCAAATTAGAACTATTTTTCGGAAAAGAAAAATGAGTTTCAATACAAGACGAGACGACGATGTTTGTGTAATAAATCCACGGTAATAAAGTGCAATTAAACAAAATGGGGCCCAATCATTAAACAGATCAGCTTCGACTTATTCTTAAAGCAGTTTTCATAAAATTTTGGTGTTGAGAGATGATGAATAAGCATAGCCAATTGCTATGATCATCATTATTACTCTGAGAATCAGAAATCTTGGAGGAAGCGAATCCCAAGCTTGGGGATGATGATGTTTGGACCACTACGATCGACGACGATCGACATAGTAGTGGTGATCTTCTTCTCGCTGATCCTCGGCGGGAGAGGGGTCGTCTTTGCCGATGGAAGCAGCGGTGGCGCCGCTGCCAGGAACGGATACGCAGGCGGAGGATTTTGGTGGTCGGGTGGTGATCCTCCTTCCAATGTTGGTTTAGCTGTCGCTGTCACCGTCGTGGCCGGTCTCGCCGTGGCTTTCGCCGTCGTCTACTCCCGTAGGTATATGGATTCGGAAATGAAAGCTCTGAAGTAAAAGCTTGTTGCCTACTTATCATGCTAAGCTTAGTCCTTTGATGCCCATTGATTTAGATAGGGGAAGCTAAATCATATGGTTACTCTCTCCAGTTTCTTTTTTGATCTCTGACTCTTCCAATGTTCAACTTTTGGAGAATTTAGACTAGATCCCCATGTCTTTCTTTACCTCACCAATTTAGCTTATTTGAGCGGCTAATTAGATTAATTGAGCTATTAGATCACTACCAGTTTTACAAGACTCTCAAGCTCATCATTTTCCTGGCAAAGTGTATATTCTTAGAGGGTCCACTCACCAAAGCTTTTTTAAGATAATAATGTAACCAGTGTTTCATGTTTACCTTTAGCTTTGTTTGTTTGGTTGCCTTTTTGGGATGCTATGCTCTCTTGGTCTTTTAAAAACAAGCAGTTTATTCTTCTAGGAAGGAAGGTTCCTCATGGAACTCTCGAGAATGAATTCCTCAATCTTTGTATTGTGTTTCTTCTTTTTAATTTTTTCAGAGACACATGCTTTTTCTTGTTGAATCTCCTACCATCGTACCTGGAAATCCCTATGACTCTTTCTCAATGAGTTCTTTCATTTTTTCCCCTCTAACTCTTGGTATCTTTTGTGCTGTTCTGTATAACTAGAGATGAAGTGGTCAAGAGTCATAGGTCTTCTAATGTGCCTTGAACTCCATTGATATGTATATTGGCATAAATGAACATTAAACATAATATATTTACGATTGATCCCGTCTTATTCGAAGAAAGCTATTTATCACCACATTTTTGTATTGTGTAATTTTGTTCCTAAATGAAGTTGCTTATTTTCCGCTCATCCACTTCTTCAGAGGACGCATTGGATCGCCTTGGTCACTGAGGAGAAGAAAGCATCCTCTTCAGCCTAAACAGTGGAATGCCTTTTTCACAGATGAAGGGCAACTCAGTGATGGAGGTGTCCAATTTCTCAAGAAACTTCGCAGTGGGGTATGTTGCTTAAGTTACGACATTTTCTGCTGCAATGATGTTACTGATATTCTGATCTTAACCAAAATTGTCCATTCTGCCTTATATAAAATTCATGTCGTTGTTTCAGGGTGTGGATCCAAGCATCAGACCAGAAGTTTGGCTGTTCCTCCTTGGAGTGTAAGAATCAGAATCCTTTTCCTTGTCCCTTCTTTATGTACTTAATGCTGAAACATGTATGATTTGATGGAAAGTTTTTCTGTTCTAAATGTTGAAATGTAGATTTTTCTATGGGGCTGGTAATTGATGTTATACTTTGGGTTAAGTTAGAAATTTAGAATAAAAAAGACAATAGTAAACTACTCAATACTCATAAACTGGGACAGAAGTGAGGAGTCCCTTTTATGTTTTCAAGACTAGTCCTAGCTTCGTCGACCCAAGATTCAGCCGGTCCTCAGTATACGTTCAGATACTTTGATAATGAACTCTGTGTAAGCAATTAGTACCCATTATCATCCCAACACACTGTAACCTTATTCTACTTACCTCTCACAGGTATGACTTAAACAGCACCGAAGAAGAAAGAGATTCTATTCGACAGCAAAAACAGTATGTTCGTTTATACTTGTGTAGTTTCATGGCTTATCAACTTTCTGCCAATATTAAATTTTCCATTTTTATCTGTTCCCATTAGGTGGCATCTTGTTATTGACTTTTTAATGTTCCATAAATTTACGAATAAGTAGTAGTTTGAGAACTCATATCGCTTAGATTTCGTGTCAGTTTATAAGTAGATTCTTAGATATATATGTAAATCTTGCAGGAAGGAATATGAAAACCTGCGGAGACAGTGCCGAGAGATTCATAAGCGCAATGAAAATGGCAGTGACTCAAAGCAGACAGCTCAGAGCAGCATCGCCGAAGACAGTCAGGTTCTTGATTCCCATGATATTGAACAAGTCAATAGTTCCACGAGATCCATCCAAGTAGAAGACGCAGAGAAGTTGAATTCCGAATCGATTCTTCAGGATGGGGGCTGTGAAAAGAGTGGCGTCACCTCCGAAGACTCAGACTCAACCAACTCGGAAGAAACCGAGACTTCACCCCTTCTAGAGAAGGAAGAAGGAGAAAGCCATGAAACCACGGTTAACTTAGACGCAACCAACTCTGAAGAAACTAAGACTTTTCCCAAAGAAGAAGCAGAAAGACACGGTGGTGTCAACCAAGAAAAAGACACTCCGTCGCCATCATCAAAGGCAAAATCTAAGGCAGAAGAGGAATTCACCACAATTTGGCAGAGAATCATCCGCCTGGATGCAGTGAGAGCCAATGGTGAATGGGTGCCCTACTCACCATCTCAAGCTGCTGTGTCTGACACAAAAGCCCGGGGAATAGCCATACAGGTTGGTCTTAGTGACTACGAGGACTTGGAGCCCTGCCGGATCTTCCATGCAGCTCGCCTGGTCGGGATCCTTGAAGCCTACGCAATCTATGACCCAGAAATAGGTTACTGCCAAGGAATGAGCGACTTACTTACTCCTTTAATCGCAGTAATTGAAGACGACGCGTTTGCATTCTGGTGCTTTGTCGGATTCATGAGCAAAGCAAGACATAACTTCAGGCTAGACGAGGTTGGAATCAGGAGACAACTCTCAATGGTATCGAAAATCATAAAATACAAAGACATACGCTTGTACAAGCACTTGGAGAACTTACAAGCAGAAGACTGCTTCTTTGTATACCGTATGGTGGTGGTTATGTTCAGACGAGAACTAACATTTGAGCAGACGCTTTGCCTCTGGGAAGTAATGTGGGCGGATCAAGCAGCCATAAGAACTGGAATTGCAAAGGCGACTTGGGGAAGAATACGGTTACGGGCACCACCGACGGAAGATTTGTTGCTATATGCGATAGCGGCAAGCGTGTTGCAGAGGAGGAAGACGATCATAGAGAAGTACAGTGGGATGGATGAGATAATGAAGGAATGTAATAGCATGGCTGGTCGTCTTGATGTTTGGAAACTTCTTGACGATGCTCATGACTTGGTTGTCAATCTTCACGACAAGATCTGAGAGAGTTAAACCTCACTTGTTGGACTATCTTTTGGTAGTGTTTATCTGTTTGTTTGTTACTTCAAAATGTGAAACAAAAACGTCCTAGAATACGCTTGAAAACATCGACATCAATGTATTGGAATATTTTGTTACTTAAATAAAGAGCTTAACCAAAGATTGATGGGAAGAAATAGCGATGTCGACCTCTCAGTTGGTGATTTGAGAAATGCTTGGAAACATCTTCATCAATATACTGGGATATTTTGTTAGATGTTGTTTATGTCCATAGAATACGGGACACGCAGGGGGTTTCGACTTTAAAAGCCCCCGTCTTGATTAGAGTTTCTAAAACATAACAAAGGCATAATTGACCATTCTTTTGTTCTGTTCCCCTCTATTACTAGAATAATCTCTTATTCGGTTTTGATCAAACTGGGACTGTAAGAAACTGCAACCATGTCGTTCAAGAGCCTAAATTGCATGATGGAACAGCATCAACCGACCAACATCGGATTCCTGAACCACTACCATCCGACTATGATTCCAATCTCCAAACCGAGCCAGAGATTTTTGAGGCCTTATTCATAATATTTTTTGTTTTTACAGAAAATTTGATATTTTTAAACAAATTTTTCAAATACTTTTTTGTTTACAAATCATAATTTTGAAACTATAAAGCTTATTCATATCAGCATCACAACAACATATAATTCAGATAATATTTTATAATTATTTTCATAAACTAAAATTTTAGTTACTTTTTAATTTGCTTGAAATATTTTATGTTCTTATTGCAAAAATACACATCCCCTATATATTAATTGAGAAACATTTGAAAAGATGTAACCTCAAGTTTGTATTAATTAAAAAGTAACCTTGCTTAGTTGTCAATCAATTAACATATCAATTAAACTGACATGGCGGCTTTAGGTTCAATTGAAATTTGCTAGGGAAAAATAATTAGAGACGCATATAACGCATGTAACATAGTTTATATATTTATATATATCTCACACATGTAATGGAAGAAAAGGAAAATATACGATTTGATAACGATTTGCATATATTAACTATAATAACTTCATTCCTTTTAATTTATGGAAGTGTATATGTAAAATGGAAAATACTTAAATTCAAATAATCATAACGCAATTTATAAATCATTGGTGTAAAGTTTTGTTACACAAATATGCAAATAATCATAAAATCATATGAGTAGAAACCTCATTTAATAAATATCCATATTAAAAGTGTGCTATATTACTATGTTTATATCATTTAAATTTAATTATATATCATATACAATATATAAGATTGATTATTTGGATTTATTTACCCTAATTGTGAATAAACAAGAGTAATAGTTAAATTTATATGCATACGCCAATTTGTTACATAATAGTAATTGATTTCTTAGTTATTTAATATATATATATATATATATATATTATTTTATTATTTATAATATGCAGAAAAATATAAAAGAAATAATAAATATAAAATACTTATTGTGCATAAAGTGCAGATCTTAACCTAAGTATTTATCTGTTTAATTATTTTAAAACTTAAATATTTTCTAAATTTCAGGTCAAAACAAACAAACGAAATGAGAATTAAATTCAAAATAAATATTTATATCGAGTAATAACCAAAATATAAAAATAAAACATAGCAAGAGAAAAATGGAAGATAAATAGGATTGACACGTGAACGTGAACTTCTCATAACTGGAAGATAAATAGGATTGACACGTGAACGTAAACTTCTCATAACCATAATTAATTTTTAAATTGTTAAATCATGATATAAAACAGAGTTAATTTTTAATTTGTTAACTTTTAATTTTTTAAATCATTATGGCTATGTTAAATCATGACAATACTTAATTTTAAATTGTTTATTTGTATTCGAAAAACTTAAAATATTGCCTTTAAAAATAATTTTAAATTTAACATAATTTTTTAGAAAATTATTTTTACAAAATATAATTTTTAAAAAATATAATTTTCTAATATTATTAGACAAATAAATAAATTATATTAAATTAC